GGAGCTGTTAAACGCAGCAGGGGTCCTTTTTGTGTTTGGCTTAACATTGTCAGGCGTTCCATGTTCTTCCATCATCTTCTTCCTTATCTTCAGTGGCTGGATAATATTTTGTCAATTGGACATTTCCTAATTTATTTCACAGTTCTGTTACTGAAGATGTCATTTGTTTCCAGTTGTTACTATTACCAACAATGTTGTTCTGAGCAGCCCGCCAAAGGTTTTACTTTCTATTGGAATGTTTTCTCTATAGGTTTTTTTTTCCTTAAGCCTATTTAGTAACAGGATGTTTTTGCAAGTTTATTTTTTATGTAAAAATTTTCCCCCCAACTTTATTTTCTGGTTTTTTTTTTCATGGAAAAATGGAGTAACTTAGCAGTTTCAATATTGAAGACTGAAGTTTAAACAAAAATTTAAATTCAAGGTACTTTTAGCACTTAATTAGAAAAGTATTTAGGCTTTCTGAACGTCAACAGTATTGACGAGGATACTGGTAACTGTGTATGTGTTTATGCCCATAGATTGAAAGCACCAGGGAGACAGATTGCCTTCCTTAGAAACCACAGTAAATGACTGTCCTGGAGCCCACCTGGGGGTCATGTGACTGCTGCTGACATATATTCTGTATACACACATACATGTGCCTATAGCCATAGACAAAGCAGTGGTGGGCTCTGTAGAGCATCGAGAAAAGGACCTTTCTGCAAGATGGGCTTTTGAATACAAGTAGTCTTCTAGATCATGGTTTGTGTTGAACTAACAATGATATGCAGAGCCTACTGGTTTATATAGAGCTTTTGGGCTTTTATTAAGCTTTAAACTTAAAAAAAATTCAATGTTGAAATTTCTACGGGGCTCTATTTTTGCTTTGACTGTATGTTCTGAGAACAAGGGAAAGTGCACTGTCCTTCCCTAAGGTTTGGTTTTTGCTCCCCTTTGGATAGATTTTTAAGAGACCAACATACAGAGTGAAGATTTTAATCATCTAGCAGGAGGCTCTGAGATTCTATTTAGCCCTGTTTTTCATCATAGAAAAGAAATAGGAAAGGTAAAACAGCCGTTTCTTCTGGAAAGAACAAGTATTGTTCATCCAGGAAGGTGTTTTGTTGCTGAATCAGCAGTGTCTGCTCTAGTTGTAAATGTGCTTCAGAAACTTTAGCGAGATTAGTGCTGCAGGGAAACAGGATGCAAAACAAACACTGAGATAGTGTGTGTTGCTTGAACTGCCCTGTAGTAATTAAGCTCTGATACTGAGAAGTTACAACTTCACTGCACACCTCAGATACATGATTCTAAAAGGAGATTTGATTATCTGTTGAGTACCTTTAAAAAGTAACACCAAAATCATAAAATTAAGATTGATGCGTGCTGTCATTATTTCCTGTTTTAATTTCAGGGGAATTCCTGTTTGGGAAAGTTATTAGGTGATTGTTTTATAACTTGGTGTCATTTTTCAGGCTTACCCTAATGATCCCAGCAAGCTAATGTCCTGTCTCCTAAGATATGCATGGTACCTACTAAAAATCCTGTAAGTTCCTGGATAGTTTTCACTAATTATTCATTAAAGAAGCATTTATTTTCATATTGTGTGACTTCTTTGACTGTTAATAAAAGAATCTGTTCACTATCAAAAGGGGCCTGTACTGATAAGCATGTGTGTCCAAGCGTTTATAATCCTTCAATGCTTTATCATTTTTACTGTAGGAAAGAAATAATAAATGCTAGGGAGTGGAAATTTTACTCTTAAAACCCAGAAGGCAAGTAAATTGTACCTCCGGTCACATCTGTAGTAACATCATCTGATAATGTCACAACATAGTATTTTACATACTAAATTAGGAAGTTATCATAACATCTTAGAACATTAACCAGACATAGAATATTGCCTTACCTCTGGAGAAGAAAGTAGGAATTAGATTTTACTGCAAGTTGTATTTTCCATAAAGTTCCCGACCGGTGGTGTTTTGTTCACTCTGGTGTTGGGGAGTAGGAGGTTAGCTGTGCCACTGTCCCTGGGCTGCTGTGGCAGCCGACCCTTGAACAACGCCGGGGGCGGGGAGAGAGGGGCACTGACCCTCTGCACAGCCAAAAATCTGCATATAACTTACGGTTCGCCTCTGACCAGCTGCGGCTTGTGTAGTACTGTACGTGTTTATTGAAAAAAAATCTGCGTATAAGTGGGCCTATGTAGTTCAAACACGTACTCGAGGGTCAACTATGTATTCTTGGGAAGCAAAGGGAGGTTCGCCTGTGTTTGGTAAAGTCTGTCTGCTCCTCCACTTGTGCTTATAATAGTAATGAATGCTTTTCTCAAGATGCTTTTGGAACACATCTTGAAAAAAATAAGATGTCTTGATATAGTTTGAAAGGGAAGGAGAACGAATGCCTGTGACTTCCTGCTTTTTGTCAGCCACTTCACTTGGAGCGTGTCCTGTTGCTGCACCCAGTACTTCATGCACAACGTGGTTGTAATTCCATGCTTCCTCTGCTCCCATTAAAACGTGAGCTGAGCTCCAGGAAGGCCCAGGACAGAAAGTTCTTTATCATTTGCGTGTCTGTGGTATAGAGCATACAGTTCTGGGCCTATACTCAAACATTCTTATTAAATAATGTGATTTAATAGAGCATTATAATACTGTAAATACAGGTATCCCCAAGGCTCAGAAGTTAATGTACCAAAACCCACAAAGCTGTCTGACACCACAGTGCGAGGGCCTTTGCCTGTGTGGGGCAGGAGCAGTGGGTTGGTACTGGGGGGCCTGGGCCCTGGTCCCGGCGCTTCCACTCAGCACCTGTGTGATGCCCGTCAGCATTCCTGATTCTGGTTCTTTTCCGTTCGTGGAGAGTGATGGGTTTGGAGAGATGATCTCAGGTGGCCAACTCTAGTATTTTATGGATTTATTTGTGTTATGAATAAAATTATGGTGCCAAATGGACACTGATGATATTAAATGGTCATGTCACTTACAAAAGGTGTTCACTTTTTATCCTTTAAACGAAGGTTCTCCAACCAATAGCATACTTGCTGGTAATGCTCTCAGCTGGTTCCATCTTTCACTGGGGCTCAAGGAGGAAGTTGGGAGGAAGAAAACCACGTAAGTCTTTAGCTCCCACCCCCTGTCACACAGAAGGAACACCAATAGCAGCGGTTCACACTAACGCTCATGCTGGCAGGGAGTGGCACAGCACAGGTGTGCCTGGGCTGCATGGGTTTACCCCAGTTCCATCACTGTGTTTTTAGGGTAAATGCTGGTTGCTGTACTGAGAACCCCTAAATGAATACATTCTAGATGTCATTTCTCTCATATTAAGCTTCAAGCACTTGATCTGGTTGATGGTCCACTCTCCTGTTAGTGACTCACATACCCAGGCTTCTAGGGAGCCCCCCCCCGCCCCCCATTTTTCCAAATTATATGGTGTGAGTTTCGTCACCAGTTGTGGGTTCTGGCCAGCAGA